TTACTCCTAGCGGGGTTCAGGGGACCATAAGGGATGCTAGTAATAGAATTTGGGTTGGCTGAGTGCAAGGCAAGTGCTCTACCAGCTGTACTATGGCTCCAGCTCCAGTGTGTGTGTGCTGTGTGTGTGTGTGTGTGTGTGTGTGTGTGTGTGTGTGTGTGTTTTGGGCCATACATGGTGGTGCTCAAGGCTTCCTCCTGGCCCTATGATCAGGGATTACTGCTGGCAGGGCTAGAAGACTCTGTGTGCTGGTGGGGATCCAACCCAAGTCAGCCACATACAAGCCCAGCACCCTTCCTGCTATGCTCTCTCTCCAGCCCTGCCACATTTTTGTTTTAGGGTCACACCCAGGTCTTCTCTCACATTGTCCTACTGGCTCTGTGCTCAGGAATCACTTCTGATGGGCTCAGGGGACGATATGAGGTCCTAGGGACTGAACCTCGGTCAACATGTGCACGCAAGGCAAGCGCCCTGCCTGCTGTACTATCTCTCGAACCCTGGTCCTCGCTTCTGAGTCATGGTACTAAAGATGGGGCTGGGGGAGGCAAGAAAAACTGGGTAACAGTTCACGGTTGCTGAATGTGCAGTGACCACAAAGTTAATCCAAAAATCAAATGCATAATGAGTCTGAGATGTTTCACAGGTGTAACAGGGCATGAGTGGTTTGGTTGTAAAATCGCTTCAAATTCTGAGGTGGCTTAAAGCATTAATGATGATTTATTATGTCCTATGGTTTCTGTGGACCCAGCATTTGGGAAGGGCTCAGCTGGGCGACTCAGGGCTTCTACTGTTGCAGTGAGACAGTGGCCAAGGCAGGAAAAGTTAGTGGACTGGAGACACAGGGCCCAGCTGGCACCGCTGACTGCCACATCACGTGCTCACTCTGTTGGTTGCTTTGTGCTTCCTTTGGAGAAGGACACTGTTATTTGTTGGATTCCCAAGGCAGACTCAGATTAAAATAGCATTTAGGATATTTATTGGGAAGTGATATTGGAACCGTGTCTAAAAGGGAAGAAAAGGAAGCAGGATGAAGGAATGAAAAAAAGTCTGGGATTTTTTTGGAAAGCCACACTCAGCAGTGCTCAGGGTATACTCCTGACCCTGCACTCAGGGATCACTGCTGGTGGGCTCATATGGGTGCCAGGAATCAAACCTGGGTTGGCCACATGAAGGGCAAGGCCCTCACCACTGAACCATCACTCTGGCCCTAAGGAGTGGAAAGAATTCTGTGATACTTTCTAATTCCTTCCCCTTCTCATTCTTGGTTTTCATATTGTACTTTACGTTTAATTGAACTCTTCTACCATTATACCATTTAAATCCTGTCTTGTTGGGCTGGAGAGACAGTACAGGGCTGAAAGCACTTGCCTTGCACAAGGCCAATCCAGATTTGATCCCCATCACCACATATGGTCACCTTAGTCTGACAGGTGAATAAATGAGTTTATGGAGCCAAATGAGGAGCCCAGAATTAAATACAGTCAGGAGAAAAGCCAAAGTCATGAATCTGAACATGTCTTATGTTGAACTAATGAGACATGATTTTTTGCTGTGTTTTATAGTTGTTTGATTTTTTTGTTTTGTTTTGTTTTGGGCTAGGCTCAGGGTTTACTCCTGGCTCTGTGCTCAGGTGACCAGAGCTGGGGTTCTGGAATAAACCCAGCCTCCCGCATGCAAAACATGTTTTAAAAAAAGAAAAACGTATTTAACCTCTTGAGCTATCTCTCTGATCAGCTCCTGGTTTCTTGATGAAGACAGTTAAGAGGGAGCAGGGGATACAGTTCAGTGGGAACACTTGATCTGCATCTGGGGTTTCATTTGCAGTTTGATTTCAGGCACCGAAAAAAAAAAAAACCAGGTGAGAGAAAAGTTTGATTCATTTGTTCTGGCTTTGGGGCCACACCTTGCAGTGTTTGGAGACTACTCCTGGCTCTGTGCTCAGAAGAAATCCCTGGTAGTGCTCAGGGGGACCATATAAGGTGCTGGAATCAGACCTGGATTGAACACATGTGAAGCAAGTGCTTTAACCCTGGCCCAAAGGACATGTTTTAGGTATTAGGAAAAGAGCTGAGAAGAGCGAGGACAGTGGGTAGGTGGGGAGATAGAAGGCCACTCCCGTGGACCCTATTCTGTCTACCACACTGGACTTTCTCCAGTTCCTGTCCAGCAGTCAAATGAATTCATGGACTTTCCTCATATTCATTAGTTCTAGAATACTCTCCCATTCTGGGATTTTTTTTTTTTGACCACACCTGATGATGCTTAGAGCTTACTCCTGGATTCGTGCTCAGGGACCACTCCTGGTGCTTAGGAGATCATACGGGATGGTCACATTGAAGGCAAGTGCCCTTCCTGCTGGTACTATCTCTCCGGTCCTGAGTTCTCTCACTTTTGTCCTTAAATCATAAAGTTTTCTGGGAATTTGTCCTGAGAATGTCAATGAAAGAAGAAGGTAAATTTTAAGTAAGAACTGACAAAAGCTGAAGACACTTAAAACAGCAAGTTTTATATAAAAAGGGGTCTGAGATGTAGCTCATCCTGAGAGGACACACAGCCCAAGTACTGGTGAGAGTCCAATCCTGGCACTGAAAACAAACGTAGCACTGTAGCACTGTCCTCCCGTTATTCATTAATTTGCTCCAGTGGGCCGGTCTCCATTGTGACACTTGTTACTGTTTTTGGCATGTTGAGTACCTCACAGGGAGCTTGCCAGGCTCTGCCATGTGGGCGGGATACTCTCCGTAGCTTGCTGGGCTCTCCAAGAGGGACAGAGGAATCGAACCTGGGTTGGCTGCGTGCAAGGCAAACGCCCTACCCGCTGTGCTACCGCTCCAGCCAAACACATAGGAAAATTTACTTTTTTATTGTTTTCATTTTCCTTTAATTTTTATTGATTAACCATGAGATACAATTCAAATGTTGTTCATGACTGGGTTTCAGTCATACATAAGTATGACAAAACATCCTCATCCCTATCAGCATCAACAAACTTTTATTTATTTGTTTTGTTTCACACTCCACAGTGCTCAGGGTTTGCTCCTGGCTCTGTGCTCACCAATCCCTCCTGGTGGCCTCGGGGATCAGATTGGGTACCGGGGATGAAACCCAGGTTGGCGCGTGCAACGAAAGTGTCCTCTCGCTGTCCTATCTCTCTGGCTCTTGACAGACTTTTAGCAGCAGGTTTTATTTTTCAGAAGTTCCCATGGGCAGCCTTGGAACGCCTTCAAGAGCGTTGAAGAAATAACTAAGAGGACAAAGAACCTCCAGCTACGAGCACATCTCTTCGATTCCACTGTTTTTCCTGCATTAACATATGCCTCAGAGACCTGGGCCCTACGCAAACAAGATGAGAACGCTATTCAGGTCTCTCAAAGAGGAATCGAAAGAGCTATGCTTGGAATATCACGCTTCACTCAAATGAGAGAAAGAATCCGGAGTTCTGATCTCCGTCAACGCTCAAGAATCAGGGATGCTGTCTCCTTTGCCAAGGCATCAAATATCAGATGGGCTGGACACGTAATGAGGTTTAGAGATGACCGCTGGACTAGAGCCAATACTGACTGGATTCCACGGGATGTCAAAAGATCGCTGGGCCGCCCACCTACAAGATGGTCAGACTTCTTCGTCAAGACCCTGAATGATCGGTTTGAGGCTCTGCATGTTCCTAGAAGGAGCAGATGCCATTGGGCTATGGCTACCACGCAACAGGGATGAATGGAGACGTTACTGGAGTAAATCCATGAATAACGGGGCATCAAGTGATCAAGTGAAGTGATCCCATGGGCAGCAACCAAAAGGAAATTAAAAAGAACAGTGGTGCTACTTCCATGTGGATCGTTTTTCTTTTTCTTCTGGTTCCTAGTCTCCAACAATTTTTGCACAATTCCTCCAGGGTTGTTGTATTTAGTTTGTGCATTTTGTTTGGGGGGGGGGGGGGGGCGGACGCAGGGTGAGGGGCCTCCACCCGCTGCACTGCGACTCCGGCTCTAGGGTTGCTGCTCAGTTTAGCGGTGTCTAACGTGCATGCTTTTCTCATCACTCGGTCCTTCCGAGTTGCATGTCAGAAACACCAGTCTTGCTTGGGGCCGGAGGGACAGCACGGCGGGCAGGGCGCTGGCCTCGCGCGCGGCTGACCCGATTCCATCCCTTTTGCCCGGTTTAGCGTCCCGATGACCTGCAGGAACGGTCCCCGAGCGCAGGACCGGGAGCAAGCGAAGCCCCAGCATCCTCATCCCGGCTGGGCGCTGCACCCAAGCCCGCCTGGCAGCGCAGGGCCAGCAGGGCCAGCTCTTCCGACGTGCGGGCAGCAGCTGCGCTTTAAAACCGGTGCACATCACGTGCCGCTACGTGGGCTCGTCGGAAGGACGCCCTCCCCGCCTCGACTCGGGAGAGAAGCCCCCACACCGAAGCGCAAGCCCGGGGGGCAGCGGAGGGGCCGCGGCGGCGCCGGGGAAAGCGCGCCAAGCACACAAAGAGAAGGACGGGGCAGCTGGGATTCAAACTCCTCGCCCCCGAGACGGACAGCGCCCTCGGCCTATCGGAGGCGACTGCGCGCTTGCCCGGAGCCAATAGGCGCGGCGCTTCGGGTTCAGCCCCGCCCCGGAGGCCGAGCGACAGCCGAGCGGCCCAACGGGCGAGCGGGACGCGGCAGGCTCGGCCAATCCGCGCGCGGGGTGGGCGGGGCGCGGGCCAGGGGGCCGCCGGTGCCGTGTCATGGAGGCGCAGTGTGCGGGCGGCCATTGAAGGGACAGCAGCCGCGGGGGTGGGGCGCGCGCGTCCGTGGGTCGCGGCGTGCGCGTCGGGGTGCGCGGGTGGGCGCTCGCGGGCGGGCGGTGGGGTGCTCCGGGGGCGCGTGCGTGCGTGCGTGCGTGCGCGCGCGCGGGGGTGCGGGCCAGGCGGTGGGGGCCGCCGAGTTCGGGTCCCAACTCCTCGGACCCCGCTCGCGGCGCGCTCGGCCCCACGCGCGAGGGGCGCGCGGGCGTCCGCGGCGGCGGCTCTTCCCGTCCATCCCCCGGCGCGGGCGGTCCCCGGGGGGGCGCAGCCGCGCGAGGACATGGAGATGAAGAAGAAGATCCACCTGGAGTTGCGGAACCGCGCCCCGGAGGAGGCGAGTGACTCAGCCCCGCGGGACGTGGCTGCGGGGGGCGCGGGGGCGCGCGCGGCCGGGGCGGCGCGGGGGGCGCCTCCCCGCGCGCCCGCGGGCCTCGGACCCGCGCCTAAGATGGCGAGGGCCGGGATCCCGGGGCGCCCGTGCCGGCGGCCGCGTGGGTGCGGGCCGGGCCCCGCGCCCCGCGGCCCCCGTGGAAGTTTCCGCAACTTTGCGGCCGCGGCGCGGGCGCCCGGGACCTCCACGCGGGCCGCGGGCGCCCCGGGAGCCGCGCGCCCCGCGCCGGCCGCACCCGGGTCGGCGGCGGCCGCGCTCGGGCCGGGCGGGCCGGGGGCGCGGGACGCGGTCTCGCCGGGCCCCCGCGCCCCGCACCCGCGTCCCGGCCGCGTTCGGGGGCGCCCGACGGGCGCGATGCGCGCGGGCAACTTGCAGGGGCGTCCGCGCGGCCCCGCTCCGCCCCGCGCCCGGGGACGCGCCGCTGTCCCCGGGGGACCCGCTCCCGCGTGGGGCGGTGCGGGCCGTGGCCCCGGGGCCGGGCCCGCGCCGCGATCGGGCGGGGGGCGCCCCGCGGGGAGGGTGCAGGTGCGCGCGGGTGGGGGCCCCGGGGACGCTGGCGGTGGGCACGGCGCTGGGCAGCTGCCCTGGCCAGGCCAGCGCTGCGGAGCTGGAGCCCGGGAGCTTTCTGGACGCGGTTCAGGGGTTTGGAAGTTTCTGTTTCCTGGTCGCCGGCGGACAGGACGGAGGAAGCCGGCGCCGCTCAGGGTCACCCCAGAAAAAGTCGGGGGGCTCCACCAGGGAGGCTGAAAACCGCGTTTCCAAGAGCGCGGGAGGCAGGCGCGCTCCTGGGGTCTGCGCCCCGCGCCCTGGCGCCCCGCGCGCGCTCGCGTCTTGCATCCCCGGGCGGGCCGGGCTGGGGGTGCTGGGTGCCACCTGTTGCGGGGTGCAGTTATTCAGATACTCGCGTCGCTCGCCGCCTTTGCACGCCGCGTGTTGTTGACTCTCCGGAGTGTCGTTCCGGAGTCCCAGTTCGCAAATGGAGGCCGGGGCCCGGCGGTGGCCGAGCTGGCCGAGTGGCAAGACGGGTTTCCTGACATCCGTCCAGTGCCCTCCGCGGCCCAAGCCAGCAAACAGGCTGAGCGGGCCAGAACGGGCCAGCCCCTCCTTGGCAACCAAGCCCTCGCGTGTCTCCTCCTCTCCAGGTGACAGAGCTGGTCCTGGACAATTGCCTGTGTGTGAACGGGGAGATCGAGGGCCTCAATGACACTTTCAAGAAATTGGAGTTTCTGAGCATGGCAAACGTTGAGCTCAGCTCACTGGCCAGACTGCCCAGCTTGAATAAACTGCGAAAGGTAAGTCTTGCCTCTGTGCGTGGGTTGTGCCCTGCCTGCTGTGTTTGGGGCCCTTGCTGGCCTTCGCTCTGTGCCCAGGGGGACCCACTTCCCGCATGCAAAGCCTCCGTGCTTCTCTGGTCCCTCGCTGTCTGTTGAAGTATTGATGAATTGGTTGATTTATCAGGCCACAGTCAGCAGGGGCTGGTGCCTCCCACTTTTAGTGGTACTTGGGGACCAAATTTGCGTGTTCTGGGGGCCTGAAGTTCTCCATGCATATTCGTGTTTGGTCCTTTGAGCTATTCCCAGGCCTTTAGAGTTGTGTTTTGCAGGGTGCTTGAGTGCTGGAGCTTGAACTGGGACCTATTGTGGGCTTGGCCAGGCCAGGTCTTGATCTCTGCACTCTGCATTTGAAAGCACATGTAGTAGGTACCATGACCTGCCATGTCTAATTTTTGTCTGAGGAAGTGACCGTCTGCCTTTTGGTGAGAAGTTGCTAAATTGTCATTAAGAAAGCAAGGTGGGGGCCCAAGAGAGCACAGTGGGCAAGGCTCTTGCCTTGCAAGCGACTGGCCTGGGTTTGATCCCCTGCACCCCATAAGGTCCCTCAAGTCCTCAGTATCGTGTGTGAACCCAGAAGTGTTCCCTGATAAGCCCTGAATACCTCCAGGTGTAGCCCCAAAGCCCCACCGCCCCCCCAAAACAAAACAAACCTCAAGAATCAAGGTAGGGCAGATTTTGGAATCATTGGTTTTAGAAATTTAATTTAAATTCAATAATAAAGTCACTTTGTGACATGAGTTTGGATTTAATACATTTATCTGGAACATCAAATCCAATTCTGACACAACTAGACTCAAGTCTGGGTTTGGTTTGAAGACAGCCTTTTTTTCCCCTTTAATTTATTTAAAAAATTTTCAAGGGATTGTAATTTACAAACATTAATGATTGAGTTTCAGGCATATAATGTCCCAATAAAAATCCCGCCACCAGTGCCAGCATCCTTCCGCCAGTGTCCCCAGATCACCCGCTCTCGACCAGCCTGCATCCTTGACAGACACATTTTAAAGTTTGGTTGTAACTTGCATCTCCTGATTTCAGTGTTGGCCCTTTGGTTTTGATATATAGATATGCCACCCTTGTATACCACCTATGTGCCCGTTGCCCCTGGCCCCTACCCCTGTGGACCTCTGGTCTGCCTCTTCTATTTGCTTTGGGGCCACATCTGGCAGTGTGTAGAGCTTACACCTGGCTCTGCAGTCAGGGATCACTCTGGTAGGACTCAGGGGACTCTTTGGGGTGCTGGGATTGAACTTGGGTCATCATGTACAAAAGCAAATGCCCTACCCGACTCTCTCTCTGGCTCCTGGTCTGTCTCATTTTTCTCCTCCCTTCCGTTTCTTTGCTTCCCTGTTCTTTCCATCTCTACAATCTCGTGTGAAGGGTAATTTAGGCATGCCCTTTTTGATATTTGTATTAACTCATCCTGCTACAGATAAGTGAGAGCATCCAGTATTTGTCCTTCTTCACTTAACATAATATTTTTCAGTTCCACCCGAGTTGTATTGAATTACCAGATTTTATCATTCCTTGCAGCTCCATAGTAAGAGATAGGTCTTAAACTCTGTACTGTCTGTGCTGTCCAGTTTTAGATTAGGGTCTTCATTTATTTTTGTTACTGAGCTTTAAATTTTCTTAAGTGTATTTTTGGATAATAGTCCTTTATCAGATATGTCATTTTCAGTTATCTCTGTGGCTTAGCTTGTAACTTATTTATTGCAATATATTTTAGAGGGGAGATTCTAGAAATTGCTTTTAGAAAATTTTGGCCTATTTTGTTGTTCTTTTGGCTGCTATTTTAATAAATATGATTGATTTCCTCTATATCCAATTGTAGATTTATCATTTTACTTTCTTAAGAATCTTACCAATAAGTGACAGCAGGTTAGTCTGGATGATGAGTACCCGGGAGAGTATGAATTCATTGATAAAGGAATATGTCTTGTTAGGCTTTAAGGGGAATTTTGTCGTAGCTCTTAGTTATGTTTATTTTTATTTTATTGATTTATTTTGTAAATTTTCTAATTGAATCACTGTGGGATAGAACATTACAAAGCCGTTCGTGATTGGATTTCAACCATACAGTGTTCCAACACCCGTCCCTCCACCAGTGGACACTTCCCGGCACCAGTGTCCCCAGGTTCCCTCCCATCACCCCCAAACCCCACCCCCCTGCCTGCCTCTTCAGGTGCTTTTTGAAGACAACCTACTTTTAAGTTGATAGATTTCGTAATTTTGCAACTTAGTAATTTTGTTGTTTGTGTTTGGTTACACTCGTAGTATCATAGTATCATTTGTTTGTGTTTGGTTACACTCGCGGTGTGATACCTTGCTCTATGTTCAGGATCACTCCTGGGGTGCTGGGATCGAACCCGGCCTGGCCCTGTTCAAATGCAAACGTCCTCTCTGCTGTGCCATGGCTTCTGCTCCAGGGTTAGTGATCTTTAAACCGCCCAGGCCTTCACAAGCTTTGGTATTGCATTCACAGCTGGAACTCAGTGACAATATCATTTCTGGAGGCCTGGAGGTCCTGGCCGAAAAGTGCCCCAATCTCACCTACCTCAATCTGAGCGGGAACAAGATCAAGGACCTCAGCACCGTGGAAGCTCTGGTAAGGGGGACCGGACCGTCTGTCTCCGGAGAGAGTACTTGAATTTCCCGGGATGTATTTATGGGTGTTTTGGTTACTTTTGGGGTTTTGGCCATTTCTGTAGGGCTGGGGTAGGTTGGCTACTCTCTCCAGTGCCTGAGAAGCTTCTTTCCAGTCTGCTTTTTGCATTCGAGGGCACTTTTATTTATTCCCTTTCACTTTTTTTTTTTGCATTTTTGGGTCACACCTGGTAATGCACAGGGGTTACTCCTGGCTCTGCACTCAGGAATTACTCCTGGCGGTGCTCGGGGGACCCTATGGGATGCTGGGAATCGAACCCGGGTCTGCCGTGTGCAAGGCAAATGCCCTACCTGCTGTGCTGTTGCTCCAGCCGGCGGCGTTTTTAAAGGACCCCAGGCTGAGATTCACAGGCCTCTTTCTTCTCCTTTAGAGTGGGACTTTGAGGCCAGGATGTGGCTGGAAGGTGTGAAGTTAGTCGTGGTGTGTGAGACATGACTTTGATCACCCACACAGAGAGAAACAGAGTAAAACTTTCAGGAAAAAAAAATTGAGTGGCTGGGGGCACACCCAGGGGTGCTCAGGATTTACTCCGGCTCCTGGAGGACTCTGGGACCTTATGTGATGCCAGGGATTGAACCCTGGTTGGTGTGTGCAAGGCTCGTGCCGTCCCCGCTGTATCATCGCCTCCTCTAAGTTTCTAAGTTAATTCATTATTTTGCTCTTTCTATTTTCTGCTCTGAGGGAAGAAAATGAAGGTGGAGTAAAACTTTGAAAATGGGTTGCTCTGATTTTTTTTTATTTTTAATAAAGATTGGGAGAGTAAAGTCATGGAAAATAAGTTAGTGGAAGATTGCAACTTTGTTTTTATTTGGGTGATTTTCATAGTTTAAATATTAATGTTTATTTTTATTGTTATTTGTAATTGAGTGCCGTTACAAGTAATACTTATATTTTGGAGGGGACCAAACCCAGGGTTTACTCCTGCCTCTGTGCTCAGCAGTCACTCCTGGCGGTGCTCTGGGGACCATGTGGGGGTCCTGGGAATTGAAACCAGGTTAGCCACTTAAAAGGCAAGGGCCCTACCTGCTGTAGGGGATTAGTAAGGTGCTAGGCATTAAGCAGTGCCCAAATGCGTGTCACACGCCAGAACTTCGTTAAGAGACTTCACTGTGGGGGCTGGAGTGGTAGCACAGTGGGTAGGGCGTTTGCCTTGCATGCGACCAACCCAGGTTCGATTCCCAGCATCCCATATGGTCCCCTGAGCACCGCCAGGGGTAATTCCTGAGTGCAGAGCCAGGAGTAACCCCTGTGCATTGCCAGGTGTGACCCAAAAAGCAAAAAAAAAAAAAAAAAAGACTTCACTGTGGTTACTGTAATAAATAGCCCTTTAGTATAATTTTCAACAAACCGAAAATGATTTCTACAAATCGTTCTCTTGATTTTATGTATTTTTTTTGGATTATGAATTAGAAAGTAGTTCATGTGGCATCCTAATCTTGAACGTAAGTTTTCACTTTTTGCTTTTCCAGCAAAATCTGAAAAATTTAAAAAGTCTTGACTTGTTTAACTGTGAGATCACAAACCTGGAAGATTACAGAGAAAGTATTTTTGAGCTTCTGCAGCAAATCACGTACTTGGATGGATTCGATCAGGAGGATAATGAAGCCCCAGACACGGAGGATGAGGAGGATGAGGGTAATTTCAGACGTGTGAATGTGTCGGAATTACAGTCTTTAATCTAGCTATGCACATTATATTAGACCTGCTAGTCATACCAGTAGAACAGGTATTAATGAGAGGGGGGGAGGCTAAGAACCCAGGGCCACTGTCTTTTGTTTCTTCTTAGACTTCTAGTAGCTTTGGGAGAATTTATCTGTCATAGTATTCGGCTTCCTGAAAATTTGTATCTGCAGAAGCTTGCTGCTGCCACCCAGTGAAAGTGACAGCATTCACGATGCTTATTTCAGATAAAGTCCCCCATTCATTTTAGCATTGGTCCTAATAGCGAAAGAATGGAATCAGCTTCAGTATCAGTAGTTCAGATGTCAGTTGCTGCTGGGTAGACGGGAGGTGACGGTGCCGTGTTAGTGACGCCAGTTGTAGATATCACTCAGTCCCCAAACTCCAAACACACCCCCCAAAAAGAAAGCGGGGAAAGAACTCATTCATATTTCACTCCTCATACATGAATAAGCCTTGAAAACATTCTGAGTGGAAGGAGCTGACGAAGACGACGCCCTGCATGAGGCCAGGTGCCAGGTGCCCAGAGTAGACTGGAGCGGGGTGGTCGAGGGGGCTGGGCAGTGTCTGCAGGTGGGACGAGGCTTTTAATTGGCAGGGTCAGGGGTTTACGAAGGAAGCGTTCTAGAATTGAATCATGGACATGCGCGTTTTAGATACCTGGTCACACAGCAGATGACGAATGGCCGTTGTTAGTCGTGGTGCGCTGTTACCGGTCATCCAGTCGTCGTTCCCTGGAAGAAGCCGACTCAGCCAAATAGTGATATGAGAAAAATGGGAATGATGGCCGGGCAGGAGTAGGCATGGGCCATTCTGGACAGAGGAGGGGTCGGCACATTATATTAGACCCCAGAAAACAGAATGAAAATAGGGAATGATGGGAAAGTCTGCTTTGAAGTGTTTATAGGACATAGCAATAGTTCATTGTGACCTTTGGAAAACTGTTTGGAAAAGAACCAGCATTTGGGGACCATTTTTTTCTCAAATAGTAGATGTGGATAATCACCTGGAAATTGAGTGATTAGCTAGAAAGTGTGAAGTGATGAGGCCAAGGTGATAGTCCAGCAGGGCGGGCGTTTGCCTTGCACGCAGCCGATGCTACATTTGATGCCTGGTATCAGTGTGGGGCCCTCAGCCCTGCCAGGAGTGATTCCTGAGTGCAGAGCAAGGGGTAAGCCGTCAGCATCACCGTGGCCTGCTCCCCCCGGAAAGTTTTCAGTGGTGGAGGCGAGGTTCATCCTCCTAGCAAGAAGCATTTATTCCACCATTTACTGACCTCTTCAAATATTATTCAAGATGGAGATGAAGAGGAAGATGAAGAGGAAGATGAAGCTGGCCCTGGGTATGGATGTGGGGAAGGTTACGAGGAAGAGGATGATGAAGAGGATGACGATGACGACGATGACGACGACGACGATGAAGACGAGGATGCAGGCTCGGAATTGGGAGAGGGAGAAGAGGAAGTGGGCCTCTCCTACTTAATGAAGGAAGAAATTCAGGTGAATGATGCTACTTTTGGGTCTTGCACAATGTATAGGCACAGAGCTAGGACTTGAAGTGGGTTGGAGAAAGAGCTCAGTGGACTGGAGCAGTCTTAGCATTGTGGGAGGGTCCCTCCTCGGTTCCACCCTGGGCACGGCCACCCATGACCACACTCATCAGTGCTCAGGCTCCTCCAGCTTTGTTCCAGGGGCCCCGTGACACCGGAGGGACTCCTATGTAGCAAGCATGGGTTTGTCCCGGTGAGCCTCTCTCCCCCAGTGGAAACATTGTACAGATGTTTCTGAGCTTCACTTTCTGCATTTACTAAACTGAAATGATACAGGCTTCACAGACTTGAAGGTTCCACAGGATAATTTCTATAAAGTAGTTGCTGGCTAGGGCTGGAGCGATAGCACAGTGGGTAGGGCGTTTGCCTTGCCCGCAGCCGACCTGGTCCACCGGAGTTCGATTCCTCCGCCCCTGTGGGAGAGCCTGGCAAGCTACATGATGTATCTTAAATGCCAAACACAGTAACAAAGTCTCACAATGGAGATGTTACTGGACCCACTCCAGTAAATCTCTGAACAATGGGAGGACAGTGCTACAATGTTACAGTTGCTGGCTCTAGGTAGGAAAACATTTCTCTAATTCTTTTAATTATTTTTATCTTCGATTATCTATTTATTTGCACTTTTGGGTCACACCCTGCGATGCACAGGAGTTACTCCTCGTTTATGCACTCAGGAATTACTCCTGGTGGTGCTCGGGGGACCATATGGGATGCTGGGAATCGAATCCTGGTCAGCCGCGTGCAAGGCAAACGCCCCACCTGCTGTGCTATTGCTTCAGCTCCTGTCTTTGATTATTTTTATTGTTATTATTTTTTTACCTGGCAGTGCTCAGGTCTTCTGACTCTCTTCTCATAGGTCACTTGTGGGCTGGGAGGACCATATGGGATGGCAGGGATTGAACTGGGTTGGCCTTGTGCAGGCAAGCAACCTCCCCACTTTACTGTCTCTCCTTCCTTATTTTTTTTTATTTTTTATTTTTTTAGTGAAGCAAGATAATTTTTTTTTTTTTTTTTGCTTTTTGGGTCACACCTGGTGATGCACAGGGGTTACTCCTGGCTCTGCGCTCAGGAATTACCCCTGGTGGTGCTCAGGGGACCATATGGGATGCTGGGAATCGAACCCAGGTCGGCTGCGTGCAAGGCAAACGCCCTACCCGCTGTGCTATCACTCCAGCCCCAAGCAAGATAATTTTTAATGAAAGATGTAATTGGAGAGAAAGAACTGTGTGTTCAGGAGAGAGAACTCTGTGTTCGGGAGAGAATGCAGGTTTCCCCAGAGTAGCAATAAGCGAAGGTTCATGGAGACAAGCAAGCAAGCTATGTGTTCAAGGGAGATGTCGGTTTGAAATTTTGCAGGAGGCAACTCTAAAGAATTTTCCCTGACTTTCCTTTTCCCTGATTCTTGCTTAAGCATTTGGATAGCTCTCTAGTGGGTCTCTGTGTGGCTTAAGAAGTGTCCCCTTGGTGTTGGTCCTGCCTGGAGGAAACCATCGCTTTCCTTCTGTCCGGGACATATGAGGCCTGTTGGCACACGGTCCCTGTTCCCACTAGCGTCACTTCACGGTACCAACTGAAATGATCACAGAAGCCATATTGCTTTTCTGGTTAGATGTATTCCCTATTTACTCTTGTTGAAGTGACTTTCTTTCTCTGGATTTAATTTCATTCGTTTGATTTTGGGCCACGCCCCGCCGTGCCCAGGGCTTACTCCCGACTCTGCTCTTGTTAGATTTGGGAGGCCACAGGGGATAGCAGAGATTGAACACGGATCAGCCATGTGCAAGTCCAGCACCCAGTCTGCTGTTCTGCACTCTGCCCCCAGGATTTCCTTTCTTTACTGAGTGAATGAAGAGTTCTGATTTTAGACTCAAGGACGTGCAATTTCACAACAGGCGGTTGTGCAGTCACCACCCATAGATGCCTCATGAGCTCTTCCTGTGTGTTGGGGCCACATCTGGTGATGCTCGGTCCGGTCACTTCTGGCTCACTCTGAGGCCGAGGGAGCATCAGGGCTGGCCTGTGTGTGTGAGGTCAGCGCCCTGATGCTGTACTGTCACTCGAGCCTGACACTTCTCTTCACAGTGGCTGTCTGTTTTCAGGCCAGACCCTGTGTCTTTGCCCCCTGTGTCTTTGCCCCTTCCACTCAGAATCTGCGAGGGGCAGGCCTCCCGCATGCAGATAGCCCCAGCTCAGTTTGTTTCTTTGAATTCTTTAGAGTTGCCTCCTGCAGAATTTCAAATTTGTCATGGACAGTCACTCCTTCCTGTCGCTTTCCTTTTTCTGTTTTGCTTTTGGGCCATGCCCAGGCACACGCAAGGCTTCTGCTCTCAGGAACATGGTGGTGCCAGGGGTCAGCACTGGCCAGCTGCAGAGCCAGCTCTCCCCCCTTGCCCCTCATACTATCTCTCCCGCCCTGTTTTCATAACTTACAATGCTTTTTTACTGTTAAAGTAACATTTCTTCCTTGAAGTTGCTAGTGTTCTTATTCAAATGAGTTTGACATTGGTTAGTTAGGTAATATTTTCAATGAGTTTTTCTCTGATAATTTTGGTTTGGAGCTGGGGAGGGGGCATCCAGACAGTTTTCAGGGGTCCCCCGGACTGCTCCTGTCATTACTGGGTGAGCTGCGCTGGCTGGAGCAGATTGGAGCCGGGTCTTAAGCCTTGCAGTGCTTAAGGCCTGGATGGTGTTGGGGTGCAGACTCTTGGGGCTCATACATGCAAGAATGAGTTCCATGCCTTTGACCTTTCTTTCTGATGCCTCTGATGCCATGTTCCTGGTTTTGATTTCGGACTGTGCTCAGGGCTTGCTCCTGGCTCTGCCCTCAGGGATCAGTTCTGGCAGGGTTTGAGAAACCATATGGGATTAAACCTGTATGCAGGCAGGACCCTATCGCTGTAGTATCTCTTCGGCCCTTCTGATACCATTTTAAATACGAAACTGGAGTAGAAAAAAAAAAAGACTTGTTTGGACCTCTGAAATAGGAGCTCTAGAGTAATGAAGGCGGAACTTTAAGAATTTAGAGGATAAAAAGAACCTGAAAACGTCAAGGGGAAAAAAATTGGGGGGGGGGGTGGAGAAATAGGAGTTAGAGTGCTTGCCTGTATGCTGCTGACCCTGACTTTATCTGAGCTGCCCCAGATGGCCCTGACCACTGCTGAGTGCCCCCCCCCTCCCCAAAGGAAAGAGAAAGTTACTCTTCAGTTTTTATCAGTGTACTCTTTTCCATTTTACGTAGTAAGATTTTGGACGCTTGTTATTTTGTATTTGGCTTTATTTTCTCTGCCAGAAATTTTCCTTTAAGTCTAAGCATGTTAAATAATTTAAAATACTCTTTGAGGGGGCTGGAGTGATAGCACAGCGGGTAGGGCGTTTGCCTTGCACGCGGCCGACCCGGGTTCGATTCCCAGCATCCCATATGGTCCCCTGAGCTACCGCCAGGAGTAATTCCTGAGTGCAGAGCCAGGAGTAACCCCTGTGCATTGCCAGGTGTGACCCAAAAAGCCAAAATTAAAATTAAAAAAAAAATTTAAAATAAAATACTCTTTGACTGCTTGCAGATGGTTATATTTTGGTGAATAGTGGAAAATAGTGACTAGTTTGCAGGGTGAAGTATAGAACAAAATCTCAGATAATGTATTCAGCATTAAATCATTGTTGTATCTGAGTTGTAGAAACCAGAAGCTTTTCACTGTGGTAAGACAATTTGGATCTTTAAAATGAAGGCTAGTTTTGAGAAGCTAAGATCTCTTGGCTTTAGTTATATTGTTGAGATGTAAAAAATTCCTAGGGGCCTGAGATTCATGTTGTAGTTTGCAAAATTAAAAACAACATGGTCCTGATGTTTCAGGACTATGTTCTGGGCCCAGGAGTGTGGTCATTGTATAGCAAGCAATGCTTACCTCGCCTGTGGGAGCCCCCAAAACCCAGACCAACTAAGTCAGCCATTTAGAATCTTTCCAGGAGAATATCAGTCGAGCCTTATTGTGATATTTATTGACATTCATTCTTTGGATGAGCAGATAGTTAAGAGTAGGAGGAACTTACAGATCTCTCTAGGTGATTACTAAGATCTGAAAACTGGGGCCCAGAGAGAGCAGTGACTGATGTGGACATTGAGCTCTGGGCTGGGATTCAGGTATTCAGGAAGGCTTTTTTGTTTGTTTGTTTGTTTGTTTGTTTTGGGCCACACTCAGCAGTGCTCAGGGCTTACTCCTGGCAGGGCTCAGAGGACCCTATGGGGTGGCATGGATCAGATCTGCATCAGCCGTGTGCAAGGCCAGTACCCTCCCTGCTGTCCTATCTCGCCAGGACCCTAAAATGGAAAACTGCTTATGAAGTAGTTCACAGTTGCTCTGTTAACTATTAGTGGTGGGCATGTTTGGTTCTTTAAGTGAGTTAAAAATGAGGTAAGTAGAACATGTAGTCGTCAGTTTCAGTGGTTATAGTTCTAGTGCTCAGGAGTTCCGGGGGCTAGTCAGGCAGCAAAGACCCAGCAAAGGACATTTCCATTGCTTTCGGACTTCCGAATTGCACGGGCTGAAGCATGGCTTAGTTTCATAAATAAAATCGATTTACTTGTAGCTTTACAAAGAAAGGAGATTGCTTTGGAAGTTTGCAAAGGTTTTAATAATTCAGGCAGAAGTGGTCAAAAATCGCCAGTCATTTTGCTTTCGTTGGAATGTATTATCAAAGTGATGAATCATGTCATGACTTACTCATTCTCAAACAATACATGAATTTCAAGGATGAAGAAGATGATGACGACTATGTTGAAGAAGGGGAAGAAGAAGGTAAGTTGATGTTATACAGGGCTGAGGATGTTGGGGCCTGGAGAGATAGTACTGTGGGTAGGCTGTTTGTCGTCCGTGTGTCTCACCCAGTTCAATCCCAGTAGCATGCCATGTGGTCCTGAGCCCTCCATGAGTGATCCCTGAACACAGCTGGGTTTGGGCCAAAACCCAAAACAAAACAAAACAAAACAAAAAGAAATCCCAAAACACACAACCAACTTACAACGTTTGCTTTTTTTTTTTTTTAATTACCTATTCATAAACCAGTGCACATTTCCCCCCACCAGTGTCCCAGTATCCCTCCTGCCTGCCTCCCTCACCCCTGCCTGCCTCTATGGCATAGACTTCTCTCTCTTTCTCCTCTCTCTTTCTCTTTCCCTCCCCCCTCAATTCCCCTCATCCCCCCAACCCCCGCCCGACAACTGTGAAATTTGCTTTTTAATACGCATTAAAGTGACAGTGGAACAATGAGCCCATGAGCTCAGTTTTGTTTCGTTTTAATTTTTGGTGTGGGGACCATACCTGGCAATGCTTGGTGGTTACTCCTGGATCTGCACTCAGGAGTGACTCCTGTGGTGCTTGGAGGATGCTTGGAGAGACCATATGGGCTGCCAGGGATTGAACCTGGGTTGGCTGTGTGCAGGCAAACGCCCTCCTGCTGTACTACAGCTCCGACCCCCCCGGTACTAATTTTCAAGGTCTCTTGGAGCTTGTGAAGCCTTATGGATCCGTGAACCCTTGATAATGCCTTTTCTAGATTTGCGCTGTGGCATTGTTTTCCTTTTTCAGAACATTGTTGTTTGTAATAACGGCAAACCCTTTAAGTTTCTTGATCTGTATTTCATGACTTGGCCACAAGGGTGCATTGCCAAGTTGTCATTTACAGATTTAAATTCAATACAGCGAAATGGACAGATTAAGAGGATATAGCCCATTGTTTCACTATATTAACTAGCATCCACGCGTTAAGATCATTTCACAACTTTCCTTTCCTTTGGAAGAAGGCGTCCGAGGGGAAAAAAGAAAACGAGATGTTGAGGATGACGGAGAGGACGAGGATGACTAGACCGGAAGGAAGGCGGGTCCCCTGGCAGCCGGCACAGGATGCTGACTTCTTTGTTACTTCATGTACAATAGCTATCCCTACAGATAATAATGTGTAACTTTTTATAGGAAAAGCGTGGTTTTACTATTTTTGCCTTATCATTCCAAGTAAAATTTACTAGCTTGTTAATGATCATCTTGTATGTCAGAGAAAAATTTCCATTGGCCACATTGTGAAATTCCCTAGCAAATTTATTTAGAATCGTACTTTTTCTATTTCAGGGTCACCGTAGTTGGGTGCATTTCATGCCTACAGATTTAAAGTTATTTATAAATGAACAGAAATCACAATTGGCTAAAGTATTTAAAAGAGTTTCTTAAATGATGGGTTGGTGATTTTATTTTTTTAGCAGTAACCCAGAGCAATTTAGTTTGAAGGCAACAATGGTGTGTGTTTTGTTTTTTTGGGGGGGGGCTGTTCTTGTTACATCAATATCTTGGAAACTCATGTAGGCACAGTCTAGATAGGAAGTGTTCTGTACAATATAGTTTGGGGTTTTGTGGAGGCTTCTGAAATCTTTTAACTAGGTGGCTAATGAGATTTTATTTTTGGAGGAAGGATCACTTACAATAAGTTCCCAGATAAGTGGCCAGTTCTTCTCTAACTTGAAGAGCCTGGTATGCCAACGGTTGTTTTGTTTCTAAGTATGTGGGCTTTATTTTCCAATCACTGATTCCTTTATGATCATGTCCCTTCTCGCACTCTTTTAAAAAACTTTTTTTAGTGACTTACAGAAAACCAGGAAAATCTTATACCTCAACCGCCTTTTCATACCCATCTCGGTTGTAATTGAGCTAATGAGGGAGACCGAGTGTCTTCTGAGACGTGTCTGTTCGCAGCGCCGTGGTACTTGGGAAGTGTCTCTGGGTTAGCTGCACGGACACACTCTCACTGGGATGAAGAAAGAAAAGTGAAAGAGGCTTTTAGAACTAGCATCAGCGTTTTTCAGAATTAATTGAAATATACTGGACAATTGGGAAAATATTCTAAATATTAAACTTTATTTCCCCCTCAAGTAAATAGCATTTAAAAAGCTACTTGAGTGTGTGTGTTTCCCTCGGTGGCTCCTGGAGGCCTCGTGAGAAGACAAGTCAGCCCCAGTGGTGACTCAGTGTTCAGGGCCATTTGTTTCTGAATTTTGGCATCTCAATATTTTTTATCTTTGTTCTGAATGTACTTTTAAAGTAAGTGTCAACTTAGTTGAAGTTTCCCTACCACATCGGAGCACATTTAAGTTACTAAGTGTAGTATTGCTTCTTTGTTTTAAATATATGACTTGGGGTTTTAAAGTAGAAACTATGAATTTTTGTGGATCAACTAAAAAAAGATGCACAGCTGACTGAACTCAGATTCTTGGGATTAGTTTAGTGGAAGTATTGAAGTATCCAAAAGGCTAGCATTTTTTGTTCCTTTTAACTAAATGAAATGCCCAATTTTAGTCCTGAGTATGTGTTCTCATTACATTGTATACAAGATCATAAAATGCTTTTAAAATGTTAAAGCTAACAATTGACTTTATCAATCATTGTATTATGCAATCTAAATTAGAAGTTTTTTGCTTGAAAAAACTCTTAGACCCTTCAGATAACTTTTTAAGACTTGTTTAGTTTTGTGGGTGGTATTTTCATGCAGATAAGTAAGGGTGGGTTTTATATTTTGTAGAAGTTTTTGGTCCTATTTTAATGCTCTTGTATGGCAGAATGTATATAGTGTGTTAAATTCCTTAAAACTGTCCTTTTAAAACTTTGAAGTTAATACTTTTGTGCAACTGTGTTTTGAATAAAGCCATGACAGTGTTAAAAACAATGTTGTATTCCTGTTTTGCTGTTCATGACTGTTTCTTTTTTTTCCTGTTACTGCTGTAACTTAAATGTTTGGGGTTTGGGTTTTTTTGTTTTGTTTTGTTTTTTTGCTTTTTGAGTCATGCCCAGTGGTACTCAGGGATTACTCCTGGCTCTGCACTCAGAAATTACACCTGGCATTGCTTCAGGAATCATATAGGATGCCAGGTCAGCAGTGTGCAGGGCAAACACCCTCCCCGCTGTACTATCACTCTGGCCCTGTTTGGGATTTTTTTTGGGGTGGTCATCCCCAGTGGTGCTCAGGGCTTATTCCTCTTCTGTGCTCAGGGATCACTCCTAGTGGGGCTTGGTTAACCGTATGTGGTGCTCTAGATCAACCCTTGTTGGCTGTGTACACAGCAAGTGCCTAATCCTCTGTACCATCACTCCAGCCCCTGCTACTTATGTCTTTTAAGAAATCAGTGACTCTTCTCTTTGGCTAAAGAAAATGGTAGAACTACACAAGAGTTATTAGGGCGTTAGCTAATGAAGCAATTCTGTGCAAGACTGACATAAAATACTTGTAAGCACTGCTGAGTCCTTGGGCAGTCAGATATGATAGGTTGTTTTTTTTTTTCTTTTTGGGTCACAACCCCGGTGATGCATAGGGGTTATTCCTGGCTCTGCACTCAGGAATTACTCCTGGACGTGCTTGGGGGACTATCTGGGATGCCGGGGATTGAACCCTGGTCGGTTTCATGCAAGGCAAACGCCCTATCCGCTGTACTATTGCTCTGGCCCCATGATAGTCTTTCAGTGCTGGAAAACGCCCCTGTAGTCTTCTCCATGCAATGATAATTCTGCAGCTGTTGCTTAATAATAGGACTCTATCACTGCATTCCTCTTCCATGTCAGAATCAGCCTAAGATTTGAGAACCTGCCTGTTCTCAGGGGACTGCCCCAGAACTCCTATTACTAACCTATTGAACAGCACCTAACTTGAAGAACCGGTTATATCACAGAATGTAAATCACAAAATGAAGCTTTCTCCTGGGGAGTATTTATAAAGACATGAGACACTGATATATTTCATACTGTAATGACAAATAAGCTGTGTGTAATGAGAATTCTGAAACTAACAAAAATTAAGAAAATGTGGTGGGAGACTGAGAAACTGAAACTGACCCCCTACATTAAACAAGAGAATGGAGGGAGAACCTATGACCCCAGTTAACGGAGTTAAGGACCCACCAGCCCGCTGGATTTACGGGAGTGCCGGGACACCCACCTGAAGGCCGCACCAAGTGATATACTGACACCAGATATACTGACACCAACCGTTTTCCCTCTGGGCAACTGAAGGCCATACCACGTGGGAAGGATGCACTGATTGTCTTGTCTTTTGCCAATTACTTCTGTATGTCCTGTTTCACTGCTAAGATTGTACATAGATTGCAGCCCACCTTTAGAGGATAATAGGGAGACCCTCTCAGCAAATGGGGCTGCAAGTCTCTTTCTCTTCTGACTTGGGGTCCTCAGCATTGAACATCCCATCCCATCCATCATCCCATCCCCCTGCATTAGGGTAGGGCAGTAGCCTTACATGCAGACAACTGAGATCTACAGCAAGTCGGCATTGGGGTAGGGCTGGTGCCCTGCATGCAGACAACCGGGGTTCGATCCCCGACAGCCCATTCCCTGACACCCCATATACCTGTGCCCTACCAGGAGTGATCCCGAGTGCAAAGCCAGGCGTAACGAGCATCAACAGGTGTGACTCAGACAACGGTCACTGTCCTCCTGTTGTTCATCGATTTGCTCTAGCGGGCCCAGTAACGTCTCCATTATGAGACTTGCTGTTACTGTGTTTGGCATTTTGAATACCTCTCGGGGAGCTTGCCAGGCTTTGCCGTGCGGGGGAGATACTCTGGTAGCTTGCCGGGCTCTCCGGGAGGGGCGGAGGAATCGAACCCGGGTCCATCGCTTCAGCCCCTGATTGAGCACTTGTGACTCAGACAACACAAAATTAAAAAAAAAGCAAAAACTTACTAGGTACCTACCACCTTTATGATTTATGAGAGAGTCATAACCCTCTTGGGGAGAGTGATCCATCGCACTACAGCGTCACTGCTGCCAGTTCTTGCAACAAATCGACCGAGGTTGCTGCAGTTTTCTGCTCGGACTGATCTTTCTGGGGTGACAGTCACGGGCCTCGGGAGCACTGCCCTGCCCAGACCCAGAGTCAACAGCAGTTTTCGCCTCCCTTTTTATTTTATCATTTTATTTTATTATTATTTTATTTATTTTTGCTTTCTGGGTCCCACCCAGCGATGCACAAGGGTTACTCCTGGCGGTGCTCAGGGGCCCACATGGGATGCTGGGAATCGAACCTGGGTCAGCCGCGTGCAAGGCAAACGCCCTCCCCGCTGTGCTATTGCTCCAGCCCCCAGGCGGTCCCATTTTCACAAGGCGCCCCAAGGACTCTCGAGTCTCAAGACTGCGCTACTCTAAGAGCGTGAACTCATTTGACTCCGGGTCCTGCGGCCCAAAGTCGTGCTCAAGCTTTTCTGATGCGGATCCGAGCAGAAAGTGGCGAGGAGAGTGTCTGGACGCGGCATCCCCGCCCGCCCTCATCTCCGCCAGGCGCGTGGTTCCCAAGCGCTACAGTTGCAAGTCTCGCTACAGTTGCAGGTCTCGCTACAGTTGCGAAGCCCGCGCATGCGCCCTGGGGCGGCGGAAGTGCCCCGCTTCCGCTTCCGCCTTCCGGCCCCGCCCCCGGCGCGAGCGGGGACGCCCCTCGCCCGCTTTGTTTCCCCTCCTCCTTCGCCCCTTTGCGTCTTGAGACCCCCCCCCCCCGGGACCTCGTGCGTTCGGGGTTCGGTTCTGGTCCTGTTTAAGGAGCTGGGTCCGGTTCACGCCTACGAGTGCGGGGTCGCGGCCGGGGGTCTCCGGGCGTTCCCGTTTCCCGACCTGAAGGCGGGCGCGGGGCTCGGGGTTCGAGGTTCGGGTTCGGGTTCGATCCCCGCGGCCCCGAGCAACGCCAGGAGGAACCCCTGAGCATCGCCGGATGTTGCTCAGCACCCCCCACCCCAAAAAAAGGTCTCCCGCCCTGGAGGAAGTTGACATTAAATGATAATTGTTGGGGGGCTGGAGTGATAGCACAGCAGGTAGGGCGTTTGCCTTGCAACCTGGTTTCGATTCCCAGCATCCCCTAGGGTCCCCCGAGCACTCCCAGGAGTAATGCAACCCCTGTGCATCGCCGGGTGTGACCCAAAAAAGCAAATATATATATATATATATATATATATATATATATATATATATAGATCGTTTATTGGAATTGTTAAATGAGCCTCAAGAGAATATTTGTTTAGTTCCTCTTGTACCAGAGGTTTCTTTGGAGCCCTGAAAGGGAGGAAAGGCAATCTTAAATTTAGAGTAGAAGACTTTTACAACACTCCAGAAATGGGCCGGAGGGCGGTTGCCTTGCCTGCGGCTGACCCGGTGTGATTTGCAGCATCCAATGTGGTCTGCCAGGAGTAACCCCTGTGCATCTCGTGGGGTGTGACCAAAAAAGCCAAAGGGAGAAAAAATAAAAAGAAGATGGGCTTATATTTTAATCGGTGTGAGTATAGAAAAACGTTAATACTAACAACTAGTTACTTCAGTAAAACTGAGGCGAGTCATTTCTTGGACATTCATGTTTCTTGATGTCTTTTAAAATACAGACTCAGAATTGGGCAGAAAAGGCCTCTTTCTTCTAAAGTAAAATATGGTGCCTCACGGGCTGGGGGTGGAACCCACAAATGGCCTCGTTGGCTCCTGATCAAGCTGCTTAAAGGCCATGATCTCAGAGACTCAGGAATAAATCTTGGAATCCAGAGGTTTTGGCAGAAGTCCTTCCGGATTTAATTGTTAAAATTTCGGAATTCCAAAATCGCGTGACAGCATATGTTATTCATGACCAGCAATAGAACACAAATTGTCTACGGTTGCCTTTTCGGCAGATCTGAGTGTTGGAGTAAAATCCCAAATAATAATGGTGGGTCTGGTGTCGAAACATTGAATGTGATCAAAGTAGAGAGAGAAAAATGTGGAAGTCATCTACCCCACAGGTAGGGGGAGGGTGTGAGATGAGGGTATACTGGGTAGTGGAGGGTGGGCACTAGTGAGGGGACGGGTGTTACATCATTGGGTGACCGGCACTTAAGCCCAAAAGCTTTGTAACTGCTCCCATGGTGATTCAATAAATAAATTTATAAAAAAACTGGGGATATGTCTCGATTTTAAGATACCAGGATTTTCTGTTAAATAATAGCTCTCAGAAAGCATTTCCCGCCCCCCCCCCTTTGTTTTGGATTCACTCCAGCAGTGCTCAGGGCTTACTCCTGGCGCTGCTTTCAGGGATCACTCACCTCAGCCAGGGCAGACATGAGTAAAATGAAGAAATAGAAGTTTATTGAGGTGGGCCCTGGTGAGGCCGGTGCGCTGGGAGAGGCTAACCTGGATTTTAAATTGTTTTGGGTGGGAACAGACCAGTGCGACTAGTGCGCTTAGTCTGGTCTTTTGTCGTAGGGGATGGATGTGAGGAGGCATGAAAGGCAACCCGGTGACTTCCTGTCGCCATATGAGCCGTAAGTCCTATCTTCTGTGCTGGGGGCAGGGTGATTTTTCACTCTGGGATTGTCGCTATCTCATCAGCTGGTCACCATTTGGTCCTGAGCAAACCCTACAGGCTGTGCTCAGGGGACCTTATTGGGTGCTGTGGATCGATCCCCACCTGCAAGGCAAGCGCTCTCCCCACTGTACTATTTCTCTGTACCTGTACTAATCTCTCTGCACTAAAAGCATTTTTCTTTTAGCGGTGTAAATACAGGGCTTTATCCTCCTTATATTGATTGATTGTGTTTTCAAGTCTTTGGCCATTGATTAAGCTGACTGAAGTAGGCATGAACTCTACTTTTTTTTTTCAATTTAAATAGCTTACATCTATTTTTTAAAAATTTTTATTAGAGAAACACCACG